GCCTTAACCAAAATGATGGAAACCCAACTACCGACCTACTGGTGACCCATCTGGTGACCTACCTCCACCCACTTGATGGAGTCGCAGTTGGCGACCTCATACACAACTTGGGCACCTCGGCAAGGTGGCTAGGAGCACCTCGTCCAGGGCCGACTTGTGGTACCTCGTCGTTACCAGTTTAAGGGACCTCGACATGAGGAGTGACCTCCCTCGAAGACTTGTCCACTCGACTAAGATATAGGTGGCGATTTGCAAGATGTACTTGCTGACCTCCTCCGTGTGTGCATCCCATCACTCCCGGATCTTCTAGAAGTCAACTCCTACACCGAATGTTTTGGAGAAAACCGAATAAGGCACAAAACTTGGTCTACGTGTGCCACTACCTCCGAGGACTTCGGACCAGCTAGCCACATCTTCCTAAAGATCTCGGATGCAGTGCGTGAAGCCCACGCTGAACAATGCCTATATAAAGGTCTCATTTCCAACATCATAAGGTATGCACAACTTAGCTCTCACAACTCTCTAGCTTTCTAACATTTTAGCTCTCTCTAAAATCTCCACATCACTGACTAAGCATCAGAGCGCGCACCCCGGATAAAGCAATCCGGACACTCTAACTCTGTCTCTTTACAAGTTGACCCAATGAACTAGCCGACTCGGCATCCGAGCCACCTTCCAGTAGGGAAACTCGCAAACTCGGTGTTTGAGTTGTCCTCCAACAGGGAGCTGCCAAATCACGCATCATAAAAAACAAAACTATTTTCTTCCTCTCCCAATGATGGAATCATTTGGGGTCAAATGGATTAATAAATAATGCTATAATTAAATAATAAAAAGTTAAAATAAATAAAATATATAATACAAAACAAAAAAAGTAATTGGGCATATCTCTAATATTATATATTCATTATAACAAAAAAAAATAAGTATGGAATGCAAGAATTGTTTTTGTTAATGATGAAAATGGAATGCCAAATTTAAAATCAACCTAAAAATTAAATGATGTCATAGTGAAATAATAAAATTTTTAAAAATAAAAATACAATGAATCACAAAAATAAAAAATAGAGAAAATTTTGGGTACATATTTAATGCTATATATTTATAAAAAATAAAATATTGGGTACATTTCTAATATTATACATTTATTAAACAAAAATAAGTATTATACATAAGAAATAATTTTATCAATGATGGAAATGCAATACAAAATTTAATCTCAACCTAGAAATCAAACTATTTTCCTTTTTGGGTGGTGGGTTAGTGGTTTGGGTCAAATGGATTAATCAATGATATAATAGTTAAATAATAAATCTTTAAAAAATAAAAAGTATAAGTAATCAAAAGAATATATACACAATTATTTATTAATTATGTCAAACAAAATTTAGATGAAATATATAATTTAAAACTAGTTTGAAGCAAAGCTATTTTCTTTTCTAGATGGTGGGTCAATGATCCAACTTTTTATTTAAGTTTATTTTTAATATATTGTTACTTTTATTAATTTTTAATTTCTATTTTAACTATGATATATCTAAAATTCAAGTAATTAATATGAAGGAAAATTTCTCACGCGCAATGCTTGTGTTACTGGCTGAAGTTTTTGAACTGAAAGATTAACTTAGGGCCATTTGATGAGGGCTGAAGTTTTTAAAGTAAAAGACTTATTATTTTATCTTTAGTTGTTAAAATAATTAAATAATAAAAATTTTAAGGGTACGGTGGTCTATCCTAAGTTCCTAACTTCACTTTCATTTTAAGGAATTCACAATTTCATTAAAAATTTTGGGTAAATTGTTAAAATCTCCCCTAAAGTTTTTGAATTGCTGAAACCTCCTTTGAAGTTTGGTAATTACAAGTTTACAATCACTTCCCCTGAATTTTTTGAGGTTGGTAATCTTCTAAAAAGAGCTATGAAAATGTCCAAAAGACCCATACAATTACTATTGAGATTGGTTTATATGAAAAAAGCAATATAATGCACATTTTGAACAACAAAACAAGATAATTTAAAGTTGCAACTTTAACTTGAGTGATTGATATGAAGGACGGTTTCGCATCCGCCCCCCCACAACTTTGCCCCCCAAAAACGTCCAACGGGCTGTGAGTGCGCCGCGTGTCCCCTCACACGCGGATCAGAGGGACTTGTGTGGAGCTAACGTGTCCTCCCACACGCGGATTAGCTCATCCCGTTAGCTCCCTCTCGCCCAAAAGGTCATCCTTCTCACTCCTCTCTCTCGAATTTCAGTTTACTTCAACCCTCAACCTTCTGCTCTCAGAACCGAAACTTGCTGGAGATTGCCCCCCTTTGAGTTCCGCCAGTCGACGCTGACGACCGTTCTGGCAGATTTATTTACCGGAGGTAAATATCCGTCAGTTCTCAAATAAGTTTTTTCTCATTTTCTACCTTGTTTTTTTTTTTCTCATTTTCACCAAAGCATTTTAAATAGTGAGAAATGACGAAGAAGATGTCCTCTCAAACGCCTCCTCCCGAAGGCGATGCTGACGCGTCAGTAACACAAACCGAGTGGTTTAATAGTGAGAAGGTTTGGTTTTCGATAGCAAGCTCTCCATTTCTTGAGGTTTGAAACGAAAAGGGGTTTGAGTTGAGGTTGTCCTTCAAGTCTCCCATTAGAGAGGAAGAGGAAAGGGAAAGAGAAAGGGGATGCTTTTATTCTTTCTCCGAGAATAAAAAATGGCTGTTGTGGACGTTTTGTTTTCTCGTACTGGAAAGGGAAAGAGAATCGCAACGTTATGATGAAGTCGGTCGTCGCCAAGTCGTTGGGTGAGTCACTGTTTCTTGATTTTATTGAGGCCTTCTTGATGGGTCTTACTTTGCAGCAAGGGACGAATCTCGTGCTCCGTTGTGAGGTTTCCAAAGGTACTGACCCCCCTAAATTTGAGACAATTGAAGGGTTTGTTCTACTGTCTGAAGCGAGTAATGGGTTGCTTCTTAGTCCTACATTAACATGGTGCAATCGATTTTGCGCTAATCAGGGAGGTTGGGAACAAGATGAATCAATGTAGAAGCAGCTGAGCGAGAGACGTCATGTTCTCGGCATTGGCAAATCCCTGGCTTTCCTGGACAAGCAGAACTAATCTCTTTAATTCGTTTATTGCAAAAAGGATTAGGTGGATGGTTATTTAAGAGCAAGAGGATTGGTTCAGATTATGAGGGATATATGTATCCTTTGCGTGTCAAGAAGCTACTAGACAACTGGCCTGAGAAGAATGTGCGCCAAAGAAAATGGGTATGTACAACGGAATGTGTTTGATATTTCGATGCTTGAAACAAACAAAATGAATTAAGTGCTGATTTTGGGTTGAAATGTTTTGTTCAAATGACTATATGGATTAAGCCATATAGTCATTTGAATATTCCCGCATGTCTGGAGGAATTGGTGCTTCGTCTGCAATAGGAAAGGAATTAAGTTCTTCCTTATTCTCGAATCTAGGAGATGGCAGCAGTTGACTTGTAAATATTTAGACCGGTGACAAAGAAACAGAACATAGAGGTTGAGGAAACAAGAATCCTTGATGACGACCTGAGAACAAGAGAAGCAAAATTGTACAAGCTGAGTGATTTGGAAAAGCCCACGAAGATCATCGGGAAAAGAAAACATCAAATTGTACAGTTCGACGCATTTTTTTATTAAATTAAATTGGGTGATTCCATCAGAACCTTAAATTGTCATTAAAAGCATAATAATTTTTCTCTTGTGAAGTGAGTTGTTGGTCAATGGAAGAGGCACAGAGTTGCAGATGTTGTAGCGGTTCTAATTTGTCGGCATCGACCGACGGAACTGGAAGGGGGCTCCCACCTCCAGCGAAAATGAGAAAAAAAACAAAAAACTATGTAAAAAATGAGAAAAAACTTATTTGAGAACTGAGGGATACTTACCTTCGATAAATAAATCTGCCAGAACGATCGTCGGCGTCGACCAACGGAACTCAAAGGGGGGGGGGCAATCTCCGACGGGTTTCAGTTCTGAGAGCAGAAGGTCGAGGGTTGAAGTGAGCTGAAATTCGAGAGAGAGGAGTGAGAAGGATAACCTTTTGGCGAGAGGGAGCTAACGGTCGTCCCGTTAGATCCGCACAAGTCCCTCTAATCCACGTGTGGGAGGACACACGGCGTGCTCAGCCCGTGGGGCGTTTTTGGGAGGGCAAAGCTGTGAGGGGCGGATGCGAACCCATGAAGGACAATTTTAAGAAATAAATCAATTCTAAAAAGAAATTGGAAGAGTTTGGAAAGTGATTCATAGGAAGAGAAAAATAGGAAAATATATATTTTTGTGAAAAGTAACTGCATTCATGCCTTTGTTTAGAAGATTCTAAGCGTCTACTTACAATAATGTCAAAAAGTTGAAGAAAGTGAATACAAATTATCAAACTTTAGGGGAGGTGTAACAACAACTGAAGACTTAGGGAGGTTTTAACAATTTACCTAAAGACTTATTCACTAAAAACAAAACAATAAATTTTTCATTTCTAATTCCTTGAAAACGATACCACCCCTTTGCCAAATGCAAGGGGATCACCTACAAGAAAAAACCTTTGCAAATAGGGGCATCTTTGCCACACATGGGGAACATCTCCCATTAAACAAACATACATAAATGAAAGATATTCTTAATGTGTGACTAGATGCCGTGTGTGCAGAGTTTTTGCGGTTGAAGAGATCCGCGAATTCTCTTTGAATCACAGCATGTTACCAAACCCCAATCACGAATCACGACCCAAGAGTTGCCCCACGTGGTCAGGCTCAGGCCCCTGTTAAGATTCTGATCTCATTAGAAGCCGACGTGTCAAATTACTGTTCGCCCAGGCCATCACTCAATCCGGCCATTCCATTAGGGGAGAAGCACTTAGACATGTGTCTAATCATGAATGGCTGACTGCAAATCCAACTTATCCAACGAGAACGGGCAGATAAGGCAACTGCCCGGTGCCCGAAATCATTCCACATCCACACGCATTCCGGGGAACCTCTAAATTGCAAATCTCCTTCTCTCACTTACCCGAAAGGCCGAAACCGTTTCTGAAGGGTGAAGAGCAGTCAGCACTCAGCAGAGAGAGCGCAAGAAAGCAAAGAGTGAGGTTAAGAAATGGCGCAAGCTATGGCTTCCATGGCTGGCTTACGCGGTTCGTCTCAGGCCGTTTTGGAAGGTAGTCTCCAGCTTAACGGCTCCACCCGCTTGAGCGTACATGGCAACAACCGTCTAGCCGTGAGCCGATCCGGTTTCACCGTCAGAGCTCAACAAGCGTCGTCCGACAGCGAATCCGCTTCTCAGAGTAGCCGTCGAGCAGTCCTTGGGCTCGTTGCCGCCGGCTTGGCCACCAGTTCTTTCGTTCAAGCAGTGCTTGCCGACGCTAAGTCGATCAAGCTGGGCCCTCCCCCACCGCCGTCCGGTGGACTGCGTAAGTTTCTATTCCACTCCACTCTGGTGAAGAGTCATTCTTCTCTGTGTGCAGCCGCAAATCAATTTTAAGAAATTAATTCCATATTTACGAGAGTTCCAAGAATAGATTAGAGCAGTTTGGGCAATGCTCGGACTGTCACCAATGCTCTCCTGACTCTGCCGACGGGTTCGCTAGCCGATCCCATAGGACAATCAGATTCTAAGAATAGTCTTCTAGCAATGTATCATATGCATATAGAACTTGGATTTGTCCGGTTTCTGATATTCCCGGCACTGATGCCGGGGACCTTCTTATGTTTGACAGCCGGAACTCTAAATTCAGATCAGGCAAGGGACCTTCAGTTGCCATTGAAGAATCGGTTCTACCTTCAGCCACTGACTCCAACGGAAGCAGCACAGAGAGCAAAACAGTCTGCCAAGGGCATTGTTGGTGTGAAGGAATTGATAGACAAGAAAGCATGGCCTTACGTCCAGAACGACCTCCGTCTCAAGGCTGAGTATCTACGCTACGACCTCAATACCGTCATCTCTGCTAAGCCCAAGGAGGAGAAGAAACCCCTTAAGGACCTAACTTCCAAGCTCTTCCAAACCATCGACAGTGTTAAGTAATTGAACTCAAGATTCTTGTTAATCTCTTATTTTGATTGATCCTTTGGTTCAGATATTAAAATTGGTTTCTGATTGATTGCTCTCAACATCAGCTGGACCACGCTGCCAAGGTTAAGAGCACCCCTGAAGCAGAGAAGTACTATGCTGAGACTGTGTCGACCCTAAACGACGTCCTCGCCAAGATTGGTTAAGTGACAGGGAATTCCTTCTAATGTATCTGCTACTGTAATATCCTTCTTTTTTTAACTTTTATTCATGAGACACTTCTCAGTTCAACGTAATTCAAAGAGAATTCGGTTTAAGAAGTCAGCTTCTTTAAATTATATATTCGTTCTCTAGTATTGGTAATAGTAATTATATATAGTAGAAAGAAGGAGATTAATGAGATAAATAAGAGCGCCCGATTAGCATGAAATTTCTGTTTTGTAGGTAGTGTATCTACATGAGCACCTCTAAAATTGGAGGTACAATTCAGGTTTCAGATTGGCAGTTCACCTCCTGATCTTGACATTCCATTATTTACAATAACTGAGATCAGTGTAGATACTTGTGTTTGGAAACAAATTAATCGATAGACATCGATCACGACCTCATAGTAGTTTGCTTCTGGAAATTTTAATTCAGAATCAAGATTAGCGCAAACCTCTGTAAGTCGAGTTCTGAAAATGAGTGATGATGTTCAGGAGAAAAGCTCTAACTATACTTAATTTAAGTAATTGCATTTCATCGTTACATCAAACCAATCCATGGGAGGATCATTTACCGCAGATCCTCCCAACTGATTACACACATACAAATATACATGGATGCATGTATATATATAATCTATAATAGCAAGGTGTAGACGGAAGAATTGATTCTCATTATCCTTACTTAGTTGCCACTCGCCATGGTTATCCTCTTATTAGATCCATTAGCTTAAGTGGAAGGAGGTTCCTTATCATTTATGCTGGGAATCTAGATCATATGGCAAAAGTATTGATGGACACTCCAAATGGATATAAGTTTTTCTCCTAGAACCCATTTTTTTTTTTGTGGTGGGGTGGGGGGACTGACATCAAACTACGTACGATTTCCCCACTCATCTATTGTCTCCCTCCCCTCTTCCCTTGCATCTGCCCTCACCTACCTGGATACCTATTTCCATTGGTTTCAGTTTTAGTTAATATATATTTTTTTTCTTTTAAAATCCAAGAAAATCGTGTTCAATCACAGTTGGTTCTCTTTAACCATTGGATTTAGAATTCCTACATTTAACATACATAGAATCCTAATTTTTCAAATACAAATACAATTTATTTTTAAAATGGTTGCAGAGGCGTTCACAATTGCAAATGTATTGGCCATATATCAACTTTCAATTAATCAAAAACTTCTTTCAATGTATCTTTCTACTAAGCCATCCAAAATTAGTTCGGTCATTAGCATATACATTAGGTATATGTTTAGCATTGATATATAACACCGTTTTCTTAGAACTGATGTGTGGGTTGGAAGCATCGTTTTCTGTCTTTTTTTTTTTCTGTTTGGAAACGTTGCTACCAGGTAGAACGTTTCCTGAAACAACAACAACACTTTCTGTTTGATACCAGTGCTCCATGTCTGTTTTCGGCACTGGTACCCATTATAGGAAGTCCATGTCACCGTCACATCATGTCTTCATTGGCAACAACGAGCTGCAATCTGAAAAAACACCAAATTCAGAGTTGCTCCAAGCCACGCCTTCTCGATGTCCATGGCGTGATTTGGAGCACTGTTTTTTATGAAAAAACGATTCCAAACAAATAGACATTTCCTAAAGCACCATTTTTTCCGATATAGCGCTGATGTATCACTATTTTCTGGAGCAACGGCATCAATGCCAAACAAATGCTAGATTTAGAGTAATCATATCTGCAACTGTTTAGAATAATAATTGTCTCTTACCAATCAATCATATTCAATTACATTTCGTCCTACTAATACGGTAATCATCTCTTACCTAAAGGAGGACTTTGCAGCTATTTTTGAACAATTGTATCTTACCCCAAAAAAAACAAAATAACTACCAAGGATAAGTGATGAAAATCATAACTAACAATTGCAACTATTTTAGAAAACAGACTCGATGCTTCTCAGTTCTCTTGCTGGGGGTAGAGAGTTTGAACTCTGAGTCGAATTTTTGTCAAAATGTCGAGAAGCTGAGAAGCCCGAATTGACAAGCTTGGCTCGGAGCTTTTTAGATCTAGATCAAAATGGTCTTTTTAAGGTCTTTTTTGGCATCTGTCTTTTGGTCTATTAGGCTTTCAGTAATCAAACAAAAAAGACTATTTTTGGTCTATCCAGCTTCTAAAAGCCCAAAAATCTTTTAAGAAGACTTGTCAAATAAGGCCTTAGCCTTTTGCGCAACAGTATGAGTTGGAAAATTGTATTTTCTATTTACATAACAAAAATAACAAAAAGAAGAGAAGGAGAAACTTTGAACAGCTTGGTCTCATTCAAAAGCCAAAGGCATGGCCAAGGGAGAGAAGTGATGGTGCGCAATCCGGCCAGTCCTAGCTGTCAACGGCCTTGCCTTTGATTAGATCAACAGGGGGCCTGAAACGGAGAAGAAGGTGGGGAATCTCCGGGGAGGAACCCGGTGAGATTGCTCCGAAGCTCAAGTTAGTATTCTCTCAAAGGCAAGATAAAACCAGATGGCGCAAAATTCACATACCTCGTTCTTGGGGGTAGGGAGCCTTTTATAACCACCTCGCGCATTTACTCCTAAGCTTTTGTCAAGTTGGGTATGGTTATCCCTGCACTCCTGCCAGTTCGGGTGTCATCACCTCTACTGGGACAGAACCGCGACTGCTCTCTTTGTCGGAGCCGTCTCTACAACTGGAGATGGCGGTAGCAGGTGGCGGTGGCAGGTGGTCGTTGGAGTGCGGCTGTCGAGCGTCAGATCCCAAGTCAGTCAGGTGCACTGCCCCTAGGTATGGACTTCCTCGGTGTCAGGTGTGGTACGGTTTGTTCAGTTTGGCATCCTGGAGGCGAAGTGCTAGAGTGGTGAGCGAGGTGAAGTCTTGAGTTCGGATAGAGGTGTGTCCCGAACTGCCATGGGGCAAGCCAGTTCGGGTCGTTGCCCTTTGTGCTTGCAAGGATCGGGGCTTAAGAGAGAGCTCAGGCTCCTTACAGGGAATTCAGACCGCTGGTTCCTTGCTTCGGAGCTCGCGTCTTGGGTGTGCTGTCATGCCGAGCTGTTGCCTTCGCCACGTGTCGAGTGATTACGACGTCGGGCCAAATCTTCCTTCATCAATTGCCCCCCACTCCTCACGTTTAAGGGACTTGCCTTGGCGCGAGGAGTTCGCGAGGTGGCAGGTGGATTTGTCTCGTACTTCGAATTGACTGATAGCGGGAGGTGTTCGTCCGGATTTTTTGGGTTTCTCGAGCGCCAAAGAGACAGTAAGCGCGCCGATCTGTCTAAAAATGTTGACAGACGTGGCGGCACGCGCTTATTTCAAATTTCAAAAAAGTGCGCCGCTGGGAGACGTGACAGCGGGTCTTTTCAATTTTGAAAAAACGCGCCGCTGCCGCTTTTAATGTGAGGAGACGTGCGCTGGCGTTCTGTCAATTTCAGAAAGACGTGCGCCGATGTTCTGTCAGTTTCAGAAAGACGTGCGCCAATCACGTCTCGGTCTCAGGGGACGTGTGGTCAGCGCGACTGCGGGCCGTCGGATTGGCTTTGATCTGTGCTTTTGGTTCTCGATCACTGTGAGTATAAATAGTGGGCGACCCCAGTTGCTGTCACTTCTGCGCTTTGCTTCTTGAGCTTGCGTCCAGGCTTTTAGTTCGCATTCAAGGTTTTTGCTCATTCAAGTTCCCGTAGTCCATTCAAGCCGTTTTCCGGGTGAGTACCTTCTTGGAATCCATCTTCTCTCCTCGATGCCTAGCTTGGATAGCTCAGACGGTTCTTCAAGTGGGTCAGATACAAGTTCTATGAACCGAGTTGCATCCCCTGATGGTTCTAGCGAGCCGGAGTTAGAGCTCGAGGAAGAGTTCAAACCCGTAGGCCGAGTCGCCTCGGGTAGTTTGGCATCCACTTCTCGTCGGGGTCAGACGTTAGACAAGTTTGACCCCTCGACCATGATGCCTGAGGGGCTCCAATCCCTTATTACCTATTACAACTTGCCCGGGGAGTACGCCTATTTCATACCTTCGGGTAGCTTTCCTTGGGAACACGGTCCTGAAGAGATCGTGATATTCCGGGAGCAGCTCGCTACGGGGCTGCAACTGCCTTTCCACCCCTCCTTGTCAAGGTCTTGAACCACTTTGGCGTTACGGTCGGCCAGCTTCACCCGAACTCCATTCGTAACTTGGTGGGGACAATCTCCCTATTTTGCGAACARGGCTTTCCTTTAGACTTGGAGATCTTCTCTTCCATTTTGATGCTTAAGAAGCAAGCGGGTCCCCTTCCCGGGCGTAGGCGGGCGTACTACCTGTCTCCTCGCCCGGGTTTTAAGCNTATTCATTTAGTTAATTAAAGGGGCGAATTTTGAGATGGATTAGCAGATAGGATAGGGTCTTCACCCTATCCACTCAGAGAGTCCAGATCTGAATGTGATTCAAATTTAGAAACCTCCTAATGAGATTAGGAGAAAGCTAATCTAATCTGCAGATAAGATAAGGGTTTATCCCTATCACCTAAAGAGAAGTCTTATCCCCCCACTCCTCACGTTTAAGGGACTTGCCTTGGCGCGAGGAGTTCGCGAGGTGGCAGGTGGATTTGTCCTGTACTTCGAATTGACTGATACCGCGAGGTGTCCGTCCGGATTTTCCGGGTTTCTCGAGCACCAAAGAGACGGGAAGCATGCCAATCTATCTAAAAATGCTGACAGACGTGGCGGCGCGTGCTTATTTCAAATTTCAAAAAGCGCGCCGCTAGGAGACGTGACAGCGGGTCTTTTCAATTTTGAAAAAACGCGCCACTGCCGCTTTTAATGCGAGGAGACGTGCGCTGGCGTTCTGTCAGTTTTAGAAAGACATGCGCTGGCGTTCTGTCAGTTTTAGAAAGACGTGCACCGGCGTTTTGTCAGTTTCAGAAAGACGTGCGCCAATCACGTCTCGGTCTCAGGGGACGTGTGGTCAGCACGACTGCGGACCGTCGGATTGGCTTTGATCTATGTTGTTGGTTCTCGGTCACTGTGGGTATAAATAGTGGGGGACCCCAGTCGCTGTCACTTCTGCGCTTTGCTTCTTGAGCTCGCGTCCAAGTTTCAGCTCGCGTCCAGGCTTTTAGTTCGCATTCAGGGTTTTTGCTCATTCAAGTTCCCGTAGTCCGTTCAATCCTTTTTCCGGGAGAGTACC